CATGAGCAACAGAAAAAATGATGGAAATGACTTTGAACTTTGTAGATCTACAGAATGAAAACATTTAGTGTATTCAGAATTCCAGAGGAATTCTTTTGAAGGAACTAATGAAATATGTCTAACTTGTTACATTTGTGTTTCTGTCATTCTTTTAACAAGGATTGTCCTTTTTTTTGCCCCCCAGTGGCACAGCAGTGTTTCTGCAGACTTACAATGCTAGAATCCGGGTTTCGATACCTGTGGTGGGCAGAGCACAGATAACCCATTGTGTAGCTTTGTGCTTAATTACAAACAATTTTTTTTGATTTATCAACTAGTTAGATATTCTAAACTTTAGAATTAATAGTTTGTGTAATTACTCGTAATAAAAGTAAGTGTATTCTAATGAAATCACAGTCTGAACTGTTATAACCAAAACCAGTTTCAGTATCCTTAATCAACTTCAACATATTAGTAGTAATGTTTATTCTGTGATTTATAATGTAATTGATTGTTTTTCCAGTTTCTGACTTGATCATTATTTTGAAAACAAGATCCATTTTAAGGTGTGCTGCTGAGCTGTATTTTGTTATTACTTAATAAAAGTATTATTGAGTTGTATATGAAAAGTAGATAATTGAGCTGGATAGTTAAAAAAAAACATCAGCTCACCTACTATGTTTAATCATTTGTACAAATGTTTATATTATTTCCCTTTTATGGTTACTTTGTGATTATTTTTAGTGTTATAAGTAAAAAAACAAACGGTAATTAAAATTTAACATAAAATATAGAGATTTGACATGTACAGTTTACCTAATTAGTTTTTAATTAACCTTTTTGATCCTGTGAATCCATGTGATATTACTTGTACACATCATTCAACTATAGCATGTAAGAAACAAAATAAAATAGAAATAAACATAGGTTTGATATGTCTTGAAACAGAGAGTAAGACTTAGTTATACATTTATTATATTAAACCTTAGACTGGAAAGGATGGTAAGCCTAACTCAAGTTATCACCTGTTATAGATTTTACCTGTATCATGGTCTTTGTTTGCCAGCCTGACTTTTGAAGTATTCTTGCAGTTTTTAAGCATATCAAACATTGCATGTTTATTGACTATTAAATTTAATAGCTCAATATTGCATTGCAAGTCTGTATAGATGATGTGTTATCAGTTGTATAAAGTGCACTGGCATAATAAAATGAGTTGACATTGATGATATCAACCTGCAGTACAATACATGCACAAAAGTGAGTAGAAACAGACCCATTAGTACCTGGTAGCTTTGCATTTTTCCATGTTTGGAAAGGTTTATGTTCAGCAGAGTTTCTGTACATCATGGGCATGGAAGTACCATAGGTATTTTGGGCAATACCACTGGTTTCATAATCCTAATTTTTTTATTTTGAGATTTTAAAACTAATAAATATTTCACCACTTTATAAGTTAATGCATGCACACTCTTTGATGGTTGAATGTATTTAAAAACTTTAAATAGGCCTACCTCTGCTAGTGGCTTAGATGTTGCAGTTTTCAATAACATATAAAACCATGTTACTTTTGTCCTCTATTAAGTATTTAAAAAACAAAATTCTCTACTTTTTCAAAACGTGTGTTTAAGCTCAATAAAATTACAACTTTTGTGAACATTATTAGTTGGACTAACTTGGTAATTTTCACAGGCAAATCACAATCTCCAAGCTTAACCACTAAAACCTTCCCTCCAGTGTCAACACCGGAGAGATCTCCTCCTCAGACAACTTCTCAAATGATGCCAGATCATCCAAGCACTCCTTCTCCTTCACCTCCTCCTCCTCCTCTAAATACTGAACTTGTTGCTGAGAAGTCTGAAAGTTCATCTTCTTGTTTGGGGTACTGATGTAGATTTTTCTTTTTGAATTTAATGATAATTTCAGAGAAGCATTTTTTTTTTATAGAAGAAAGTAAAAATCTTTTAAACAAAACATAAAAACCCAACTAGTTTTGACAGGTTAAACTTGTCATTCTCAATGGATGGGAGTACAAGTGTTATCAGTGTCTTGTAAGCTCATGTTCAAAATGGTCCAGAAAAATTAACATTTTCTAACAGATCACAGAGTGCAAAAATTATTTAGGAAAAAACCTTTCAAATAAAATTGAGTTCAAATCTCATTTCATTACTGAGCATGTTTTCTCTAGTTTAAAATATTTGTAGCAATTATCTTGTGTTGCATTGATGGAAGACTATTGGTTCAGCAATAATTTTATGATAGATATAAATTAATTTTGTGGTTGGTTTTGTGAACATGTGAGAAAATGCTCAGTAATGAAATAGATTTGAACCTAAATCTTATTTGGAAAGTCTTTTTTTTTTTTTAAATTAACTTTGCACTCTATGGCTATTAGTAAATGATGACCTTTCTGAACTGTTTTGAACTTGAATGTACAAGACACTGAAAACAGTTTACTTTGGCCCCTGAGAATGATAAGCTTGGGCTGTTAAAACTAGTAGGGTTTCTTATATTTTGTTTATTCTTTAATCATTTATGCATTATTATGCTGATGTGTGATTACTGTTTTTTTATGAATTTGTACAAAGTACTTCTTTAAAAATCTTACTGTGTTGTTTGAATGACAATAACACTGGTTAATTTAAAGGTAGTTTTAATAACTGTGATAAATTGATACAATCATAATAAATTATTGTAATTGGTAATTTTTTTCTTCAAATATCCATATATCCACACATATTGAAAAAATGTGAAGGAGGAAATAGAAATCTTTAAGATTATGAAAATTAATAAGAATAAAAGTGAGAGACATATGAATCTGAAAACAAAGTTACTTGTGTTAAATGTCACTTTAAACTTTTTGAATTTGGCTTTACTAATTTTTGTATCTTTTTTTTTAAATATAGAAAATACTTCAAAAGACTTTCTAAATAGTTTTTAATACAAGTAAAGACACACCACCGTATTAAGTAAAAACATTTATAATTTATGCAAAAGTGTACACTATAGATTGAAATTACCAAAATGAATCGTCAGTTATTCATGTCTCAAGTTTGCATATTAGAATATAATATGTTATATAATAAATAAAACATCATAAAATATTTATTTGCAACTGGTTGTCATTGTTATGGAAATTATTGTAGAAAATCAAAATTTTATGAGATATCTAAAAATCAATTTCTTCAACTGTTGCTTGCCAAATATTTGAAATTTGAATATTTTTTTATGTAAAGAAATTTTATAATTGAAGTTGTCTGTTATATTTTTAATAATGCTAATCAAGTAACTGTAATAAAAAATATTTCACAACAAGTAGAGAAGTATCTGTGTAGAACATCAGTGATGAGGTTTGGCACGGCCTAGTGGTTAGCATGTTGGACCGAGTGCCTAGTGGTTAGCATGTTGGATCGAGTGTCTAGTGGTTAGCATGTTGGATCGAGTGGCTAGTGGTTAGCATGTTGAACCGAGTGGCTAGTGGTTAGCATGTTGGACCGAGTGGTTAGCATGTTGAACCGAGTGGATAGTGGTTAGCATGTTGGATCGAGTGGTTAGCATGTTGAACCGAGTGTATAGTGGTTAGCATGTTGTACCGAGTGGCTAGTGGTTAGCACCTTGGACCGAGTGGCTAGTGGTTAGCACGTTGGACCGAGTGTCTAGTGGTTAGCACGTTGGACCGAGTGTCTAGTGGTTAGCACGTTGGACCGAGTGCCTCGTGGTTAGCACGTTGGACCGAGTATCTGAGAGTTCCTGATTCAAATCTTGTTGCTGCAAAATTTTGATTCACACTTTGGAGCCATGAGTGCATTGTAAGAGTGGAATCAAATCCCACTATTTGATTAGAGTAGCCCAAGAGTTAGTAGTGGATGCTGTTTACTGGTTGCTTTCGCTCTAGACTATCAGCTCAGTATTAAGAAGCTTGTGCAAATAGTTTTTGCACAGATTTCCTACACATCTAACTACAAGTGATGATATATATTGTCTTCATTACATATTTTCTTTCAAGTTTTGGAAAACATCTTTTCTGTGTGTGTGATAAGAAAGCACATGCTAAATGTTAATTAAAAAGATTATTTATGTACGGATTGTAAAATCCTAGCCCTCTTTCAGTTTATATATTTTGTAAAGTAACTGACTTTGAAACAGTGTCAATTTTATCAAAGGTTTTTAAGCAGATGTAATACTGGAGAGTTACAAGCTCTTGACAAGGTTTAATCAAAAGCCATGAAATTGTCCTGGAGCTAACGCTAACAAATCAAACTGGTTTAATAATAATGAATTACTCTTATGATGATGCTGTTGTTGTTCTTGAAAACTTTTTGTTTCTGTTATTCACTGGCTTCAGAGTTAATGTGCAAGATGCAGCAGTCCAGTATTCTCAAGACAACACTGTTTGTGATTCTACATTTGCCACCACCACAGACAGCACCGATGATCCTATATCAGAAGGGGAGTTGCTTATAAAAAAAACAGAGCGAATTACAGGTATGAAATTTCATTAACATTTTCAATTATTAATGAATCACTAAATCTAAGTCATTTCAACTTCACAGGGTCCTTTTTTAAAACTGTATATTCACTTTTATCGAATGATCTTTTAAAGCTTGATTTATTTACTTACTATGTGTAAAAATATATATTGACATATGTTCTCGAAGCATTGTTATCATCAGTCTTAAGTAATACAAGGTACTGCTGGAAGTGTTTTGGTTCTGAATGCCATACTTCATGAAAGCTGAAATAGTTGATTTTTAATTGGCCAGGTCTGTGAAAAATAATAATTTATTTGTAACATTAAGAGTTGGCATTTTATTATTATTATGGATGTTAGTGATAAAATGATTTGAAAATTACCATTTACTTGGTTTCATACCAGTTTGTTTTCTGTTGTTTTGAATTTTATCATAAATTAAGGAATAAAATGTTAATGTGAACTTATTATTCTACAATGAAAGAAAAATTAAGTTAGTTAAATACTTTTTCCACATTCTAGTTGAACTTATCCTTTGAAAAAAAATATATTTTTTTTGATTTCAGGAGTTGAAAATGGGGAATTTTATAGTACATTTCAAGACTTTGAAAATATTCAGGATGATCAGGTCTGATTTTATTTTAATAGTATTTATGGGTAATTTTGATTAAGTTTATACTTTTGTTTTTACTGTTGGATTATAATCATTTTTTTAAACTTACATCTGTAAACGGTTTATATAGACTTGACTGTAGTTTGATTACTTAGACGTTTTTGTGTAATGGAACGTAAAACATCAAATGTTTTGGTAACAAGTCTAAATTTTTAAAGACTTACCAAATAGTTCTCTATCGCTTGGTCTAGTACTGTTTAATTTTGTTTTTCCTCACTATATTGGCATGCCTCTGATCTAGCAGCCAAACTTTTTTTTTTTCTGGTTAATAAACTTTACAGTAAAAATTATTTATGCATATTGTACTTCACAATTAGTAGGTTTATTATGATGAAAAGTTATTTAAATATGCATTATACTTATTTTGTTTTATATTTCCAAAATTGGTATTTCTTATAGAACTTAATATTTTAAAATTTTACGTTACACTTATAAAACTAAATGTATGCTATTAAAATTATAATAGAAAAAAAATAATTCTTTTTCTAATAATTTCGATTATTTGTTTGTTTAATTACTCCAGATTACAACTAATATAATTGCAATTTACAATAAGCTTAATTCAAACTGTGCTCTTTTATCCTTTTTCTGGGAACTTAGTAGTATTTCTTTGATAATTTTGTATATTTAAATACAGGTTTTATTACTGCAGTTTCATCTATTTCTAAAAGCTAAGTATTACTTGGGAACAATTATATCAAAACACCCAGTTTTTAATAAAGCTGAAAACTTCTTAAGGATGTTCACTTTCTAAACATCTTAACTCTAACAACTTATAGTGAAGGGGAAGATGTGTATGAATTTATTATACCACTTTAATAGTTATTTGTTAAATCAGCAAGCTTTTCCAAATGACTCCAACTTCACTGGATGTTGAATTCTTTTATTATTTAAGTACCTTACTACATAGTTAGCTAACTTGGTCAGAAGTCTAAAGCTTTTTCCAACTCTTACCACTAATTTCAAACTAATAATACATTTATTTATAATATACTATTTTAAAAGAAATAACAGTTCTTATTACTGTTAATGAATTTAATAAAAGAACAATTGTTAAACAAACGAGTTTCCCAATAAAAACTACTTGAAATCTTGGAAGATGAATTTAACAACATTAAAACACTTGGAAAACATGACTAATGAAGGGTTTTGAATAATTTTTCAACTTAACCTTTAATGGTAATAGTCTCCTATGTGAATAGTGTTAGAAAGGGAAGACATACAATATTAATACTTAGCTTGAAATCTTGGAAGATGAATTTAACAACATTAAAACACTTGGAAAACATGACTAATGAAGGGTTTTGAATAATTTTTCAACTTAACCTTTAATGGTAATAATCTCCTATGTGAATAGTGTTAGAAAGGGAAGACATACAATATTAATACTTAGCTTATTCTAACAGCAGGAACACTGATCACACTAACAAACTGACAGAAGGTGTGTAATGTCATCACTCAGTATACAAGAAAAGATGAAACTGTTATTTCTGTCACATGTGACAATTGTTATTATCAATACAAATGTCTTCAATTTAAATACACAGGTTAGTCACGATCATCCACTAAGTGAAGGAGAGGTTCAGCCGTCCAGCCTAAATGTTCAGATTTTACAGGACCCAGTTTCCAAAGTTTTGAGACGATTATCTGATTCAAATGGCGAGAATGGATTTAGAAAAAATTGGAAGAAAGGTAATTACCTAAAAATGTGATTAATAAAGGCTGAATCAGAAAAAGAATTTTTTTCTTCTCGTAGTGATTTATTTTGTAATCTTTAAATAGTCTTGTATTAAACTATTAAGTCAGATGTCACTGCAATAACTATTAATTGTTCATGTAAATATGAATGGTGAAAATTAAAAAAATTATTGTGATTTTATAGAAGTTAATTTTAATGTGTTTTAGGACTATTTCTGTAAGATTTAGACATAAACATACAATATTCTAAACATTCCATAATGTAACATACTTGAGTTAACTGAAAAACAAACTATTTTTGAGATTTACACCAACCATTTGTATAGTTTCGTAGAGTTCAGAATGTTTTTTATTAAGATTTTGATATTTTCGGAAACATTCCTTATAAATTTCCATCACAAGTACAAATATTAATGATCCATTTAATTGTGAATATATCTTTATTATGGAAGTAATTTTTTATTTTTCATATTGTGGCTTTGAAAAAATTTAAGTATTGTTTTATTTTGTTAGAAGTTTGGAGAGAGCTGAGCTCGGGTGAGATACGAGGAACAGAGATTGCTATGAGTATTCTAAAGGAAACTGGTGAAGTAGATATAAGTCAGGGAGAGTTCCCATTAGTAAATCTTGGTAGGAATGTTGGACACTCCTTTCGAAGTATCTTATCAGAGGGAGAGATTGCTGCTGCTACAGGAGACAGTCAACTTCCAGTTGAGGAGATGGAATGTTTTTGATGAACCTGCTCCTAAGTCTGACGAACATATTAGAAAAGTATATGACCTCACTAAAAGTGATGTGAACAATGATAGTTTAAGACAAGATTACGATGAACTAGATGATGAGCCAGTAAAAGATGTCACCTCAACATTTTCTGAAGGGCAGCTTCTTGGCAGTGAAGTAGAAAGTTTGTGGGACATCAGCCAGAGTGAAATAAGAAATGGAACAGCAATAAGCAGTACCAGTATTTCTTCAGAAAGTTAGCAGAATGTTACTAAGTACAAAGTTTATAAGCCCTCAGTGAGAGTACAGTAATAAGAGGAACAAGTAATAAGCAGTACAGAATTTTTCAGCTGAAGAGGAAATTAAAGAATTGCATTACTTTGTTTTTACAGAAACAGAGCCTGAGGAAACAAAATAAATTTGAAGCTTGTCGACAGTGGAAATACTAAAAACTGTAGTTTACTTGTATATAAAACTAAATGAAAATTCTAGATACTTTATGAATTTTTTTTTCAGGAAATATAGATTATTGGGAAAACAGAAAGTTGAGAAATAGTTTGGTTTTTAAGCTTTAACATGTTTTTGGAACTTGATGTAAGATTTTGGATTATTTGTAATGCACCATGTTAAACAAATGAATGTTTTAATTGTTGATTGTAGTACTCTAGTGTTGACCGTGTTGGACAACGAATACTAGTTGTGTTACTTTTCGGATGTGTAATAGTAATGTTACTTTGAAGTTTTCTTTGAAACCTTCAACAGAGTATACCGACATGAAAAATCCTGGGTTTCTTCTATTAAAACAAAATATGAGATTGTTTTAGTATACAGTAAATCCTACAGATAAGGGAAGAAAATTTTGAATCTAAGGTTTTTTATATACAAAATTCAAAAATTGTTTAACATTTAATTCTTATATTTTAGAAACTTAAATTGTTTGTATAAGCTTCAGTATTTTTTTGTTACACATGTAAAAATACAAATGGTTTTCATTAACACATTACCCAACTTAATACTAGTATTTTGTAATGCTAATGGTATCTATTGACAGAATTTAATATATGACTGGGTCACCCACTATTCAGAGATTATGAAGAATTTGAGATAATTTAATTAAATATTTCAATCCATTCGTGTTATTCATAATTCAAGAAAAGATATTTGATTGTTGATCGGGAGTAAAAGGAAAGACCATTTCATTTTTCAAAAAAGTGAAGTCAGAGTTTTCAGGTATTGTGATAAATTAGTTCATTATGTTGTGGTATTTCCTCTTAAACCTTCTACAAATAACAAACAGTAACACTATTTTTTCTTTTAATTTTGTTTCATCTGATTTGCATGTTTCGTTTGTAAGCGATCAATTATTCAAGCTCCATTGACTCTTGACATCATCTAGAATTGTCACTTCCAGAATAAATGGAACTCCAATAGCAGCATATATTTATGTAAAACGAACAGGATAACATTTGTACAACAGTTCTACAAAGAATGCAGAAGAAGAGTTATCATATGAAGTAATGATACTGTATGTCTAATTTTCAAGGATTTATTAATACCACCATTATCAAGAAAATTTTCATCTCGTTTCTTCATGACATTGTATGATGCACATCTCTTTTTGGGAATCATTAATGCTCAATAGTAGATGCAGAAAAGTCGGTAAAAATTGTACTCAGAATGATACTGATTGCACTTCTATCACTGATTTCACTTTCATTATGAAAATGATTTTCAAAAATATACTTCTTCCGGGTCCTGTTTTTGTCAATAATTGTGCAATCTCTTTACATTTCAAACTTGCATTTTTGCCTTTACCATCTCATATTACTTTTGAGTCCAGTTTGGATTGCATGTCATTGTGATGAAAAAGGAAGCATTGCCGTATTTCCGTATATACATTATGGCATCTTGACATCACTCCATCATATATCTAGGTCCACCTACAAATGTTGAGGACAGGATGATTCGCCTACTGATGTTTCTGAAATCATCATCATCATTCAGTGCATCAGTAAGGCCTTTGTATGTTGTTGATCTCAAGGATGCTTGATTCATTCGCATGTAACTCAGCCTCTCTCCTTCAATCTTCGCAGCCATATCGACCAAATATTGCTGGAATAAATATCCACCTCTGAGGAGTTAATTGAACTCATTCTCTTGGTTCATTATTCGATGTGCATAGTAGTGCATTGCCATCTATTTCTTGTTGTTACTCATTAGCAGCTGATGATGCCAGCCATCATCTCCAAGAGGGAAGAAGAGAACATATTGAAAAGTGGCGTATGAGCGATGGGACTCTGAAATTATTTGTAGTTGTCCTCTTTCTTTCAACACAATGTGCCATGATCTTACTTGAGGTTAGGGATTGTTTTTTATAATAACGGCAAAATTCTAAACTTTGTTAAATGACTTTGCAAAGCATCTTTTATCAGACTTTCCAAAACTTTTCCCACAACTAATGTAAGACTAATGGGTCTATAATTACTGGGACAATTTTTATCACTTAAAAAGAGGAGTTACATTTACATAAATAAAGCAACT